TTCTATATCTATATCTGTTCTAATCTTTATTATTTCCCTTCTTCTGCTGCCTTTAGGCTTCATTCGTTTTTCTTCTTCTAGCTCCTTTAGGTGTAAGGTTCGGTTGTTTATTTGAGATTTTTCTTGCTTCTTGAGGTAGGCCTGTATTGCTGTATCCTTCCCTCTTAGGACAGCTTTTTCTGCATCCCAAAGGTTTTGGACCATTGTGTTTTCATTTTCATTTGCTTCCATGTATTTTTTAATTTCTTCTTTGATTTCCTGGTTGACCCATTCCTTGTTTAGTAGTGTTTTGTTTAACTTCCAGGTATTTGTGGTCTTTCCAAATTTTTTCTTGTGGTTGACTTCAAGTTTCATAGAGTTGTGGTCAGAAAATATGCATGGTATGATCTCAATCTTTTTGTACTTGTTGAGGCCTGATTTGTGACCTAGTATGTGATCTATTCTGGAAAAAGTCCCATGTGACTTGAAAAGAATGTGTATTCTGCTGCTTTAGGATGGAATGTTCTGAATCTTTCTGGTCCAGTGTGTCATTCAAAGCCATCCTTTCCTTGTTGATTTTCTGCTTAGATGATCTGTCCATTGATGTAAGTGGGGTGTTAAAGTCCCCTACTATTATCAATGAGTTCCTTTATATTTTTGTTTTATATATTTGCATGCTCCCATGTTGGGTGCATAAATATTTATAATTGTTAGATCTTCTTGTTGGATAGTCCCCTTTATTATGATATAGTGCCCTTCTTCATCTCTTGTTACAGTCTTTGGTTTAAAATCTAGTTTGTCTGATGTAAGTATTGCTACTCTGGCTTTCTTTTGATGTCCATTTGCATGATAAATGTTTCTCCATCCCCTCACTTTCAATCTGCAGGTGTCTTTAGGTCTAAAATGAGTCTATTGTAGGCAGCATATAGATAGGTCTTGTTTTTTTATCCATTCTGACACCCTGTGTCTTTTGATTGGAGCATTTAGTGCAGAGTAATTATTGACAGATATGTATTTAGTGCCATTTTATTACTTGTTTTGTTGTTGTTTCTGGAGATCTTTCTCTTCCTTTCTTGTCTGTGTCACTTTCAGTCTTTCCTTTCCACTCAAAGAGTCCCCATCAATATTTCTCTCAGGGCTGATTTAGTGGTCATGAACTCCTTTAGTTTTTGTCTGTGAAACTCTTTATCTCTCCTTCTATCAGAAAGTATTATTTTAAAAAAACATCAGGGTGCCTGGGTGATTCAGTTGGTTAAGCGGCTGCCTTCGGCTCAGGTCATGATCTCAGGGTCCTGGGATCGAGCCCCACATCGGGCTCCCTGCTCAGCAGGGATTCTGCTTCTCCCTCTGCCTCTGCCTGCCTGCCGCTCCCCCTGCTTGTGCTCTCTGTCTCTCTCTCTATGTCAAATAAATAAATAAAATCTTTAAAAAATAAAAATAAAAAAATCCTCAAGATGCTGAGCCACATCTTGAGGTACAACTGCTTATTTAATTAGACTGAATTGAAATTAGTTTGTTCTTCAATCTCATTTGGAATTACTTGAAACATGAGATTCCACAACAGCTCAGGCAGCTGGGGGCGAGGGGAAGTTTAAACAATATGGCCTCTAGTAATGCAAGTAAAAATGTTTCTAAATGGAATGGTAACAAAGCATTGTGAAAATTTCCTTATTATTACTTACTACTCATTGTTGAGAGCCACTGAAGTGCTACATTTTGAAATGTATGTATAAAAATCAGTTCAGTCATTAACAAACAATCTGCAGCTTCTACAAGCAGAGGGATTAGGGGAAGGAAAAACTGAAACCCAAGGGAGAACGATTGGTTCATTTATTTTCAGTGTCTTTTGCTTCCTTCTTACCTAAACTCCCATGTCAGGGATGTAGCAGTACCTCCACAATTCCCAGGAGTCTCTGAATGCCTGCATGTGGTATCCTGTCCAACGGCAATTTAACTGTCAGGATATATCATCATCAAGTCCTCCTGCAAGTTGCCCGACTTACATTATGGCACCATGAATGGCTTTATCAGGAAGGCACAGTCTTAAATCACTTAAATCCAAGAGAGAATAATGGAGGGCTGTTTCAAAGGCTCACATAGTAGTTGCATTAAGGTGTGTGGATAAAACACAATGGCCATGAAGGTATTTTGTGAGAAAAGCCAGTCATCACTTTGATTTGCCTTCCATTTCCTGCCCATATTATTTTTCCAATTGCAGGATAACCTTTATAGCTAATGTAAGGATTTGTTAGCATGACTCCCAGAGGCTTCTGGGAAAGTGACCCCTCTCCTGGCTCTGCAGTACTAAGTTTAAGAATATACTTGGATCACGGGCGCCTGGGTGGCTCAGTTGGTTAAACGACTGCCTTCGGCTCAGGTCATGATCCTGGAGTCCCGGGATCGAGTCCCGCATCGGGCTCCCTGCTCGGCGGGGGGTCTGCTTCTCCCTCTGACCCTCTTCCCTCTCGTGCTCTCTGTCTCTCATTCTCTCAAATAAATAAATAAAATCTTTAAAAAAAAAAAAAAGAATATACTTGGATCAGGATGTAGCAGGCTGCCTGCACCAAGAATGATGAATGGGGACTATTCATGCTTAGGTTTACTGTATTGTGTTGTAGTGCCTCCTACATTATATTCAGTGTTGTATTGAGAGGTTGAATATACAAATAACAATGACCAGAACATACATAAAAACAGAACTCTGACCTACGACCCGCAACAACCTGCCGAGGAAATCAACCAGCCCAGGAAGCCAGCCTGCTATAAGTTAGACCTGCAGGAAGTCAGACTGCTATCTCTAGTGATGGTCCAGGAAGCCAGACAATAACCCCAGTAACAACTGGCCCCAAATGACCAGGATTTGATTAATGACAGACAGTTTTCCTAATATTTGTCCCCAGCCTGCCCACAGTTTCCTCATATCCAGTTTCCAATCAGGGCGTAACTGAAGCCTTATCTTTTTTCCACCCTTCTGCTTGCCTTTGAGTATCTGCCAAAATGCACGTGTGACAGGTGCTGGCTCCCTTGCTGTAGAAACTCTGAATAAATAGCCTTTGCTTGTTCTCATTTGGTTGGCCTTTGTTTATTTCCACTATAAAACTGAGTTTAAAGAGGTGCTTCCAGTGTCAAAGAAGTGGTTCCCAGCACATCCCCAGGCTACTCTACTGAGAGAACTGATCCAGTCTTACGTATGTAATTCTAGATGTAAAGAGAAAGACTATTAACTCTCCAGAAAGACTAATATAATTCTCACTTGGGTCTTACCATCTGTAACTACGTACCCACTGGTCAGGATTTCAGAAGCTGGAATCTCCATCTGGCCTGAATGATGTTGCTGACCTCTGTGATATGTATCATGACTGTGCTGACTTCTTTTTATATCCTTGAGATAATTAAAACCTGCTTGATCTATCCAAGGAGCATGTGTCTGGTCTTTGTATCAGTCTGAGTTTACAACTGACTTGGTCAAAACAATGGTCATGCACACCCCATATCTCAGACTGGGTAGGTAAGAGTTACATATTTTGGAAGTGAATATAAAGATTTTTGTTTTCTGTCCCAGGCTAGAATTTATAAATAAATGACTGCTCATGGTAGTATTTCTTAACCTAGAGTCAGGTACCATTTAGGGGAGAAAGGGCAATACATGCAGAGACAGCAGTATAAGAAAGGCAAGGAGGCAGGAACATTAGAGAGCAATGCTGTGCATCTCCTGGGCCTCCAAAATATACCATATGGTTTACATCTAACTGCAAATGCACAGTTGCAGCTTCTACAAGCAGAGGGATTAGGGGAAGGAAAAACTGAAGCAAACACCTTTGCCCTGAGGGAAGCCTTTTTAAGACCATTTATTTCTGAGTTCTCTTGAACTAAGGGGACAAGCAAGTCTATGCAGACTCCTCTGAACTCCCAAGATATCCCATTTGAATGTTCTCCTTCATTCCCACTGCACAAGGACCACAATCACATTTGACTCTAAGTGGAACCTTGACACAGTCCAGATGTCCATTTTCAATCATTTGAGACCTAAATATGTCAACAAATATTTTTAGAGGGAACATTAGGTAAAACTATCATTTGCTAAATATGAGTGTCTAATTCTCTCTATGCATTGCCAATTCTCTCTTTGGTATTAATCACAGTTGCTAATATTCATGTCCCCATCTACCATAGTGCTCCCAATCTGTCAATTTGTGATACATCCTTTAGGTAGCAGCAATTCTTTTTTTAACCTTAAGATTTTTCTACCTTCTATCCATATGCACTGTAGAAAATGAGAGACAAAAAGAAGGAAGGAAGGAAGGAAAGAAAGGAGGAGGAAAGAAGGGAGGTCACAATTAATACCAACAGAACAAGTAATATTTTAGTATAAAGATTTCCAATCTTGTTGATGTTGTTATGCAATCACAACATACATACCATTTCATAACTTTCTTTACTCAATAATATGTTGACATTTCTCTACATCATTAAACACTCCACAATGTAATAGTTAATGACAGGAGAACATTTTAATGTTTGGGTAGTCCACACAATGTCTCCTACTGTTAATAATTCATTGTTTCCTATTTTACATTATTATAAGGAATGCTACCATTAACATCCTTAACTAAATCTGTCCCTGCATGCACAATGATTTCCACATGAAAAAACATGTAGAAATTGAATTTATGGATCAAAAAGCTAACCACATCTTTATGACTTTTGATCTCTGTATCAAAGAGCCCTCTAGAAAGGTTGTAAGAATTTATACTCCCTCTGGCAGTGCATGAATGTGTTCATTTTTCCATATCCTCTTTGTATGAATATTATACTTAAAGAGGTCATTTTCCCCCCCTTCGTCCCTTCTTGACTTTCTTCCTCTTGCCAACTGTTAACACAATAATGCTCCAGAGTTTTGCTAAAAGATAGGTTTATTTGTCTTGTCCACATTTCACCACAATGCATCCCAAGGACCGGTGATACACAGAATCTGAAGAATGTGACTGTCAGCCTTTCCAGGATAGATCAGACACCTTGGGGGAAAAAGCTGAGTTTAAAAAAAAGCCAGGAAAAAGTCTGAGGGCTGGGGTTGGGGTGGGGGTAACAATGAGAAAAATGAAAATTGATCCTTGTGTGTTCATCTGGGAAAGACTCTAAGTACCGTGGTAGGTGATTAAAAGAAAAGTAAATCAGTGTTTTGTACCATCTTCTGGATACAATGTCTAGCCTAGACTTTATCCCTGAACTCCAGACTTACATATTTAATGACCTATTTTGAGATTTACACTTATTTTGCTATTTCTCTAATAACCACTACCACCAACATACACTCCATTAGAAAAACCTATTCATCCTCCAAAATATATCGATTTAGTCCACTTTTCTCCATATTACTGCCATTACTGCCATTTCTCTTTTGACTATAGATTTTTTTTTTTTAAGATTTTATTTGACAGAGAGCAAGTAAGCATGCACAAGCAGGGGGAGCAGCAGAGGGAGAGGGAAAAGCAGACTCCCCACTGAGCAGAAAGTCCATCACGGGACTTGATTCCAGGACCCTGAGATCATGACCTGAGCCAAAGGCAGATGCTTAACCGAATGAGCCACCCAGACATCCCATGACTATAGATTCTTAATTTTTCTCCCGGTTCCTACAGTCCATTCTGTACACAGCAGCCAGGGAATGAGAGTCACATGGTGCCATCTTCCAAATTAAAATAATTTAATAGCTTTCTATGGCTCTTAGAATAAAATCACAACTCCTTATGGGGCTTACAAGCCTTCACTCATGAGTGAGATCCTGTCTACCTCTCCAACACCACTGGATACTATTTTCTCCAATCTCCAGCACACTGCACCAACCACACTGGCATTGTTTCTACTTCTACAGCATGCTGAGTCCTTTTTAACATTAGAACTTATGTTTTTGCTCATCCACCCCTTGATCACGCATGGGCAGTATTTTCCACCCATCATGTCCCACTTCAGAAGGAGCCTCCCTGACTACCTCACTAATGTTGGCTTCGACCCTCAACCCATTTACTTCCCATCACACAACCCTACTTTTTCCCTTTGTTAGAAAACCAAAACAACTTTGTCTCCTTGGTCATTGTCTTCTTCTCTAGAATGTCATCTCTAGGAGTCCAATAACTTATTTTGCACGGACCCACTGTACCTATAGCACCTTGCAGAATGCCTAGCACATTGGTGACACTCAAAAAACTGTTTCATGAAAAAATAAATGGAAGATATATTCATAATCAACTAAAATCATATTTTCTTTGTTGTAACAGGTTTTCTCATATGCACATTTATGGTATAACCAATTACGGTATGATTTTTAAATACTTTTTAATTTGATGAAAAGGAGTATGGCATTGTTTGAATAGTCTAAAATCTATTTAATCATTGTGTCATTGGAAATTTAGTTTTTACCATTTTTCATTATTATAAGCAATATTACCATATGTAAACTTGAAACTAATATATAATTATTTAATTTCTTATTAAAGTGGCTTTTCTAGATCAAAATCTTTTTATATGTTTCATGAAATTTTCTTGTGAAAATACTAAACCAATTGATTCTCCATCAGCAGTGAACTGAAGTTCTTATGTTCATACGGTATATCAGATTTCATTCAGCCAAAAGGAAAAGAAAGCCTAATGGAAACTAGTTAATATGGGAAAATATCTCATTTAACAAAGGACCAATGGTAGAGCAGTTTTCAGGATTGCTTGATTAAATGTCTTACAATGTCATTCTTCTTTCTACTTTGCCCTCAGGCTGACTCCCCCTCAGGATTACAAAACATCTGAAGCAGTTCTAGGCTAAACATTCCAGCAAGACCATAACCAGAGGTAAAAATGGATCATATCCCCTGGAGTCTCCTTCCTAGAATGAGGAAATCTTTCCCAGAAGCCCAATAGTAGACTGCCTTCAGTTCTCATTTTCTGGAAATGGTTGACATGCCCTCTCCTAAATAAGTCACTGATAAGGAGAATGGAACTACCAGGAAGAGTAATAGTAATAGCTAAGTCCTAAACCAGTCTGTATTTTACCCTACAGTAAACTTGAGGGTTCTGCCAGTAAGGAATAAGTTGAAGTGGGATAGGTCTTGATAGGCAATCAACAGTATCTGATAATACTGAATATTAAAATTAAAAAATTTTTTGATAATTTGATGAAAAGCTATTAACACTGCATTTATCAGACTACTAAACTGCATTAACATTTTCTCTTATGTTCTGCTATCTTTTAACTCCTTTAGGAGGTCTCAACCCTTCTTGGTGGCAGAAAAAAAAAAAAGATGAAGAAAGAAGAAAAAGAAACGAAACGCTGACAGGCTACAGGCTGACATCATTACATCTCAAATTAGTTTACAAAAACCCACCTCTTCAGAGAGTTCCCTCTATAATACCAAGTCCATAAGTTTCATCCAAGCACATCAACTACTCAGTAGAACAGGGGAGACAGTATGAATCCACAAAACATACATTATTTGTACTAACCACATCAACATTAGCAGGAGAATCAATAGGGCTGCAGCTCCCAAGAAGATTCTTTTTTTTTTTTTAAAGATTTTATTTATTTATTTGACAGAGAGAGAGAGAGAGAGAGCAGGAACACAAGCAGGGGGAGTGGGAGAGGGAGAAGCAGGCTTCCTGCCGAGCAGGGAGCCTGATGCGGGACTCGATCCCAGGACCCTGGGATCATGACCTGAGCCGAAGGCAGACACTTAACAACTGAGCCACCTAGGCGCCCATCCCAAGAAGATTCTTAAGTTTTACTGACAACCCAAGACTACCCCGTTGTAATTTCATATTATCATCTGTGTTCCAGAGCTCTCCCAAACTTGTCCCCAGACCTTCCTTTAAGGTAGAACAAGTTGGATTACACCTAGCTTCAGCTCCAGTTACTCTTTGACTTGTTTTCTTATGGGTTTTCTGTACCAAAAATTTAGGGAATATCTGATGCCACTGGGCGTGGAAGTTAACACAGTTTATTCTCGTTGGACCATCAGCTTCATTAATTTGAACTCCAACAATAAATGCTCGGCAATTTCTCCTCATCTTTACTCATTTTCCTCCAATATTTCAATTTTAGTTACTAATTAAATACATTTTAATTATACTAACAAAATAATACTTTTCCTTCGTGTAAAAAATATTTCCCTTTGAACAATAACACCTAACATGTTCATTGGACAGTTATTGGGTTGTTCAACATCTGCTTATTGGTGTATGAGCTATTTATATATTAAAAATATTGATTATGTGTCATATAGATTACGAAGTCTTTTTCTTTGTTTTTCAAACTTGACTAATGTAATACCTATAGATATATAATCAGTCTTATTTCTTTATGTTTTCTGCTTTGGGTGACATGGTTAGAAAAACTTCCCAATCTGAGATCAGGTATATCCACTCATTTTTTTCAAGGATCTGAGCCTTTTGATTTTATAATAACTGTCAGACTTTCTTTATGTATATAATTATATATTTAACTAGTGAAAATCTTTCAAATACCAACAAGACAATTATTTGGGGCAATGCATTAAAGTTGACATGATAAATGACATGTTCATGCAGGACACTGTCCTATTGATGGCGTTCTTCTCTTTCACATTTATTTGCTCTCTGTGGATGACATCATCCTCACTCACAGGTATTACATCCACAGCAATAACCACCAAATCCAGATTTCAGGCCAACATGTAAAGAAAATCTCCTAGCCCATGAGAAGTAGGAGAAAATCAGAATCAGGAAGAAAGAATTGAGGCCTGGGGCAAAAGTACTTACGGGGAAAGGTGAACGTTGTGTTAGTTCTATCATTCAGAAGTAAGGGGTCAGCTCCATTTCATTAATTTTCTATTTGCTCTGGCCAAGGTCAAAGTGATTCTAGGTATAATCTGTCATGGCAAGAAACATGGATACTATTTAGAACCAGAAGTAAAGAACTGTGGGGGAGACTGAGGAAGGAAAATATTCATGGCTTTTTCTTAACATGTGTGTTGGTAGTGAAATCAGGAACCAAGGCTCTCATAACAGCTACAGAGTATACACCTACTTAACTGTCACAATTATAGTTCATAGGCTGAAAGGGAGGGAAAGGTGTTCAAGAATCATTTCCCTAAGTATGTCTTAAATATCCACTTTTTATTTAAAGAGATTGGTACACTGCTGCTATTTAAAGAAAAACTATCCTCTATTCGAAATCAAAATCTGAAAATCAAAAATTGATCACTTGGGCTTAATTGTCCAGAGACAAATCAATGAAGTTCTTAAAATATTCTTACACATTACTCTGAGGGTTTTCTTAGAAGTTGATTTAAAAGTGAGAGAATTCAGGACACTGGTGTTTAGGGCTGTTTTGTTTGTTTTTACTGAATTATTGACTAAACTGGTTTAATCTTCCATGTGTTCTGTAAGGGGAGGCACAAGGAAGGGAAACTGTCACTGACTACTGAAGGTTAAGAAAATAGATACCTCAAACCAGTTGAAAAGGCTTGACCAAGCACATATACCTAGAAAGGGGCAGAATTAGAACTGGAAATCAGATTTTCAGATTTTAATTTTGACATTGTTTCTACTCTGCTGCTCCTTTTACTATAAAATTCTTGTTTTCTAGGATTTTATACTAAAGCTAAATGATAACAGATTTAAAACAATTTCAATGGATTGCTAATATTTGAGCATGAAGAAGATAAGGTTGAGGAAATGAGGAGAATCACAGAAGGAACAAGTAGTCATCATACTGTTTCATTTAATCAGTATGGCTTTGAGCCAGAGGGAAGAGGAAGGCCCCTGAAAAAGCTGATGTGTGATACCCAAAATCCTAGAAATAGCTATCCCAGATTTAAAAAACAGACTTCTAACCATTTTCTTAGAGGAAGGCTTGCAGTGGGTTATGAAGCTCAACAGGAGAACATGGGCTCTCTCAAGAAGCTGACCTGGGTTCAAGTCTGGACTCTGCCACTAACTCATTGTGTGGTTTTTTCTGTTGTTTTGTTTTGTTTTTTTAGATAAGTATCTAAGTCATACTTTTCTCATTTAGATAATGGAGAAAAATAAAGCAGCCACTTCATGGGGTTGCCAAGGATTAAATGTAGTAATATATGCAAAGCCTTTAGCACAGTGCCAGGCATAAGGTAAACACAGTAACAATCCCTTGCTGTGGTTTTGTCATAATAAGGAGCAAAGATGGCTCCAAGAGGCTGCTTCATGGTGGTCCAGGAAAGACCCAGTTCCAGAACCTGGAATCTTACTTTTATCCACTTCCTTGGTCTTGGGTCCGAGAGTAAACCTTGAGCTTCTACCCATGGTGATCACAGAATTTGGAGGCACTTCCTTGATCTTGGGTCCGAGAGTAAACCTTGAGCTTCTACCCATGGTGATCACAGAATTTGGAGGCAGAGGGAGGTCGGGCTCAAATCTGCTGTGTCATCTTGAAGCAGCAATTTCATCTCTTTGAGTTTCATTCCTTACACGTGAGTTGAGGAGCCAATAAGATTTCAGCAACTTGTTCTGAGGGCTAAATAAAAGAGATCCGTAAGAGACGGTATTTTCGCATAAAAAGCCTGTGTAGACTCAAAAACCCCATACAATATGAGTTGTAATTATTCATCACTCCACCTGCAGATATAGAGGTGGCATTTACTATCAGCAGAGTTCCTCTCCCATCCTTCCTGTTTTTCAAGGCTCATCTTCCTAACACCTATCTCCTCTCCCCAGGGCAATTGTAGGCTTCCCTATTTTGACCAAATCATGTTTGTTCATTGGACATAATTACTCAGGATTATGAAATGTCATGGTGGTTCCTGCTTTATGCACTAACCAGACCATTAACAGATACTGAGCTAAGCACCAGGTCACAATCCATGAACGCCTCAAGGTTATAAGATCCACTTCTTTTCCTCTTCGCAATCCTGGCACAGTCTAACATTGGAAATTAAGTCCAGAAATGGTAGGTTGGGTCAGGCTATGGGAAGCCTTCTGTCATAAGCAAGAATCTGGATTTTTCTTTAGTGAGTGATAAAGAGTAACTGAAAGCTGTTAAGCATAGGATTGACAGTCATTTTTGTGTACTAGAAAAATCACTTTGGAAGCTGTTGTAGAAGTTAGCAGGAGGCTTGGCCTGGAGGTATGACCTGTGTAAACACTGTCATCAAGAAAAGGGGAAATATGCTAAGAATTCTGCCTAATAGATAAGGCAAGTATTAAAAATAACCTTTCAAATATCTTCATCAATATCCTTAACATTTCAATTTAATTATGTTCCATTACATAACCCTAAACATTATTGAAATATTAGAGCACACAGAGAAAAGGAAAAAAATTATCTACCCTACACTACCCAGAAATAAATGCTATTAACAGTTTGGAGTACATGAATCTTTTCAGACTTTTAATGTGTGTGTTGTATGTATGAAGAGGGAGAAGGACGGAGAGGAGAAACCTGACATAATAAGAAGTAAAAACACTATAATGTATCAGGAAGAGGACAAGCTAGAGAAGAAGGTAATATATATGAGGAAGCATTCTTACGGGTGGGGGGGTGGCATCAACAGACACGGTCTAAAGTTGATACTTATGGGGAGTGGGCCTGGCAATGGAAGTGGAGTATGCGGTAGCCTTTATTTTTGTTTGCTTTGTGTGCTTTTATATATCTTTTTTCTGGCTTTATTGAGACACAATTCACATATAACATTGGGTAAGTTTGAGGTATATAATGTAATGATTTATATATATTTATATATATCACAAAATGATTACCACAATAGAGTTAGTTAACATGTCCATTACCTCATATAGTTACAATTTGTGTGTGTGTAACGACAACTTTTAAAATCTACTCTCAAATTTAACTATAGTCACCATGCATGCTACATGTTACCTCTCCAGAACTTATGAATCTTAGAACCGAAAGTTTGTACCCTTTGATCACCTTCACCTTTTCCCCCACCCCTACCAACCACCAATCTATTCTGTTTCTAGGATGTTCCATATATATAATATATACACACATATTTTATTCATTCATCCATCAATGGACACTTAGGTTGTTTATGTGTCATGACTATTGTAAATAATGTTGCAATAAACATTAAGGGTGCAGATGTCTCTTCGAGAAAGTGAGTTCACTTCCTTTGGATATATACCCAGAAATGGAATTGCTGGATCATACTGTAGTTCTATTTTTAATTTTTTGAGGAACCTCTATACTGTTTTCCATAGTATGGAAGTACAAGTGTACAAGAGTTCCCTTTTCTCCACATCCTCTTCATACTTATGTCTTGTCTTTTTAATAACAGCCATTCTAATAGATGAGAGGTGATATCTCTCTGTGGTTTTGATTTGCGTTTCCCTATTAATTAGTGATGCTCAGTACCTCTTCATGCACCCACTGAATATCTTCTTTTGGAAAAATGTCTATTCAGGTCCTTTGTCCATTTTTTAAAATTGATTTTTTTTGCTATTAAATTGTATGAGTTCTTTATATATTTTGGATATTAATCACTTATCCAATATGTGGTTTGCAAATATTTTCTCCCATTCTGTAAGTTGTCTTTTCATTTTGTTGATTGTTTCCTTTTTAGTCCCAATAGTTTATTTTTGCTTTTGTTACTTATGCTTTGGGTGTTATATCTAGAAAAAGCATTGCCAAGACCAATTTCAATGAGCTTTTTCCTTCTAGAAGTTAAAAAAAAAAACAAAGCCCACAGGAGAGAAATTATTAGTAATTCCACAGACGACAAAAGGACTCATTACAGGTTGTTTTTAGTTTGCCCCCAGTATATTTAAGATGCTTTTCTCATTATTTAAAAGCTAAATTATATGCAACCTTTTCAGAAATATTCTATTACATAAAGCAAGATACCCTAGAATTTGTACAGCTATTTTTTTTGCAAAATGCAACACTAGAAAGGTAATCTACCTTTTCCTGCCACAGGGAGAGCCATCCTTAGGCATACTATTTCTTAACCCCTCAGAATGGAGGCATATTCACAGATAATAAAAGCTTATCCAATGTAACAATTTGGGGCCAAGAATGTAAGTCAAAATATTTAGCAATTCTGTGTTTGTTGTTCTTTATTAATACATATTGTTCCTATTAAGACTTCCCTTTTGCAGACTGAAGAATGAGCTGCTTGTTCGTGCATGATTCTCCATATGGCATAAAGAACTATGTTCAAGGGGTAAAATTAAGCCATCTGTGGTGGTGTTCATCTTCTTCTTTTAAACTGGTCCTTTTAATGGTAAATCATTAATATATATAAACATATTTCACCTTCACTGGATTTCTTCATCAGAACCAAAACTGTGTGTAACCTGCACTGGATGCATAGTCCTTCTTATTTTTTACTTGTTGATGGATTTTGATGACCACACAGTCATTTCTCCTTCAAAAGCAAAATGCAATAATAGTAAATAGTAATATCATAAATTCTACACCTATCTCTTTCCACAAGAAAGCTGAAAATGCCATTGCATGCTTTTACATGTTTTTTCTTCCAAATGGTTTCTGTTAAGTCCTGGAAATGAACAACAAAAGATGGAATTATTAATTCATCATTCATCACCAATGTGATGAAGCTGTCACTGCTGGGAAATACTTAAGGGAACATATGCATACAAGGCCATGTTGTTAAATAAAGACACTCAGAGAACTAACACAAAGTAGATATTTAATAAAAATACATGTTGAATGAATGAATGGATAAACACATGAAGTAGAACTGATGTTCCTGAATCTAGCTTTTGATTTCCTTCATTTTTGAGAAAAATGTGTTTTTTGGACATTTCAAAATGTTGGACTGTTATAGTGTATCTGTGGGACAATTACAAAAGGTATAACATTCACATAATGGGAATATCAGAAAGGGAAGAAACAGTGAAAGGAAAAACAGAAGATAGATAGGTTTGAAGTAATGATGGCTGAGAATTTTTCAAAATTAATGACAGACACCAAACCACAGATCCAGGAGGCTCAGAAAACACTAAGCAAGATAAATACCAAAAAAAACAACAACAGAAAAACAAAAAAAACCTGTATCTTGGTATAATATATTCAAGCTATAGAAAATCAAAGACAATGAAAAAGTCCTGAAGGAAGCCAGAGGACAAGACCCATCCTACCTGTAGAGAAGCAAGGATAAGAATTACATTGGACTACTCTTCAGAAACCATGCAAGAAAGATGGAGTAGAGTGAAATATTCAGTGTTGAAAAAAAACCCCACCAATCTAGAATTCTGTATTCAGAGAAATTATCCTTCAAAAGTGAAGGAGAAATAAAGACTTTCTTAGATAAAAAAGATATTGAGTGAATTTTTCAAGTTAAAAGAAGTTCTTCAGAGAGAAGAAAAATGACACAGGTCAGAAACTCAGATCTACATAAAGTACGAGCCTTAGAAAAGTAATAAATGAGAGTAAAATCTTTTATCTTTCTTATTCTTATTTGATCTAACAGATAACAGTTTGTTCAATAAAATAATAGCAACAGTGTATTAGATGATTATCACTTACAGGTAAGTGAAATGAATAACAGCAATGCTATATGGGATAGGAGGAAGGAATTGGGAATACACTGTTATGAGGTATTTGAAGCAGTATAAAAGTAGAATTTGTCACAAGCAGACCTGCCATACAAGAAATATTAAAGGGAGTCCTTTTTAGGCTGAAATGAAAAGACACTAGACAGTAACTCAAATCCACATGAAGAAACAAAGAGCACTAGTAAAGACAACTAAATGTAAAAACATTATAGGTAAATGTAAAATAAGTATAAATGTATTTTAAATTTGGAACTCTTTTTTTTTATCTCCTGATTTTAAAAACAACTGCATAAAGGAATGATATTAATCAGTGCTGATGGGCAGATAATATATAGAGATATAATATGTATGACAATAACAGCATAAAGAAGGAAGTAGGGGTGAAAATATAGAAGAGCAAATTTTTGTACCCTAATAATTGTTTTTACTTTGAGTTATATTGTTTTAAGGCAAGATTTTAATTGTAATCCCTAGGAAACCCAACAAAAATAAAACTCAAAAAACAAATATAATAAAAAATGATAGCTAATTAAAATGGTAAATCATATCTATTTAATACAAAAGAAGGCAATAATGGAGGAACAGGGGAACAAAAGGACATGAGACATATAGAAAAAAACAGAAAAATGCAGATATAAATTATTCCTTATCGGTAATTACATTAATGTAAACTGACTAATATCTCCAACTAAAAGGCAGAGATTGGAAGAATGGATTTTATTTTTAAAAAGCAAAACCCAATCCTATACTGTCTATATATAAGACACACACATTAGATTCAAAGACATAAATAACTTGAAAGGAAAAGGATGGGAAATGATACACCACACCAATGGTGTGTGAAAGAAAACTGGAATGGCGATACTAATGTCAGGAAAAAATAGACTTTAAGACAAAATTTGTAACTAGAGAAAAAGAAGGATATTTTACAATGATAAAAGGACTGATCCATCAAAAAAATATAACAATTATAAACAT